TTCATCCTCACTAATGACTCGTGTCTTTCATGAATCGTTTGTGGCGTATCAGTGGTTAACTTTGATTTGCAGGTGTTGCCGTGTCAGCATCTGTTGCAGCCGGCCAGCGGAGAGAGTCCTGAGTACCTGCAGCACCTGCGATCGCTGGCTTTTTCCACATACTCACAGAGCCGCCGTCTGTTACCCAGACAGACGCACATCAGGTCCCTCACCGGATTCGGCCCCGCATCCACCGTACAGTCAGCGCTCAAGAGCCCAGAGGTCACGCTTGATTATACTCTATCTGCACTGGATGGGAGTTACGTGTTGTGATGCAAAAACATTAAATCACTCTCGTCATAAGAAAGGGAGCTGTATAGACTGCATGCGCTCACCATGGTGTGTGTGTGTGTGTAAGCACATGCTATGATGTGGCTTTGATTGAGCGATACCTCTTTCTTTTTTTGTGCTCTGCGTTGACATTTATTCATTAAGTTGCTTTTATCCACAAAATCACGAGAAACAGGGCAGTGGGATAAAACAGAAGTGAGACACTGCTGAAGACTTGTTAAACACGTCCGTCTAGCACAGTGTTTCTCAACCCGGTTCCTGGAGCCCCTGACACTGAATACTTTCAAGGGGCTTCAGGAACGGTTGAGAAACACTTGTCTAGTGCATATTTACATCGACAAACAAATTAGTTAGCAATTAGTTCATTTAAATAATCTTCTTGTACAATGATCATAAAAAACATGACTATTAGGGTTGGGTATCGAAAACCGGTTCCATTTTAGAACCGGTTCCAAATTTCCAAGAACCGGGTATTCGATAAGACGCGTGCATTTCGATTCTGCTTAACGAATCTTACGTTCGCATTTTAATGTGATTAAAAACTATTTAAGTGCAGGAACGGAAAGAACTTGCACCCTGTTTGCGTGCAGCACACACGAAGCGCAAGCGTGAGCACAGAGAACAGAGGTCGCGGTACGGGTTCCCAGTTTGTGTCCGTTCTCGAACCGTTCCGTGTATTTCCACTGTAGAAAAGGTTGTTCTGGGCCGAAACTGACTTCTTTCATATTTGTCGACCAATATGCAGAAAACTACGTCAGTATATCATCATAAACACAGCCGTTTTTGTCTTACGTGAACGTAAACAGATGAGAAAGAAAACACACATGTACAGTATTTTTAGATCTGCTTGCGTTCAGTGTTAAAGAGACAGCAGCCTAATAAACGTGCTGCCTGTCATTAATGTTAATCAAAGAACAAAA